CACGTCTTCGGCATTCGAAAGGATATAAGAATAGATGGCGCCAAGCATTGCTTCAAATGCTAAGAAAACAATGTAGAAAAATGCGTTAAGATTTTCGTCGGTGTGGCAATCAGCCGTTTAGCTCAGTGGTTAGAGCGTCAGGCCGCGAATGCCGAAGACGTGGGTTCGATTCCCACAGCGGCGAGAATCTTTTCGCACTTTTTCTACATATTTTAATGTTCAATCTTAAGTGCAAAGATTAGCACTATAAACAATTTAAATTTCTAAAAATGAAGCATCACAAATATTATGTGTTCGGTGTTCAGCAGTATTTTCGGTAATTGTATGCAATTCACTGGATATAATTCAATGTAAATTTTGTTAAATCGACTAGCATTTTGGACATTGATGATCCTGACAACAATAGATCTACTTTCATATTGCAGATGGCAATGGCTAAGTAAACTTAAAGTGGCTAAGTAAGTTTTTGCAAAACTAATTTTAAATCAACTTTTGGTAGATGTTAATATGAACAAAATATTTCACGATGAGCAATATGGATTCATTAAAGGCAGATCAGTAACAGATGCGGGCATCGCACTTGTCAAACATTTTGATAACTCCTGAGAAAGGTCGCTAGATGCAAAAGGTGTCTTTTATGGCCTTTCAAAAACCTTCGACTGCGTAGACCATAAAACACACCTTTAAAGTCTAGATTATTATGGCATTCGTGGCATCGCCCTCAATCTCATTGCCTCTTATCTTAGTAATAGAATTCAAAAATATCTATAAATGATTTTAATTCTGCTTGGTCCTCGATGAAAATGGGTGTCCCACAAGGATCAATCTTGCGCCCATTATTATTTTCAGTAGATATTAATGATATCCCTTTTTATGCGAGTGCGTTGTGTGATGTTGTTGTTGTTGTTGTTTGCTGACTATATATCGCTTTTTTTAAAGATTGACCGAAATGTCTTAAATTATGACGACGTCAATAGTGCATTTTCACATATCCTCCACATGTTTACTATTAATAATATGGTATTAAATGCCAAAAAAACTAGATGTATTCTTTTTACCCCTCCCAGTATAAGAAGGCAAAGTTTTAGTTTAATATTAAATAACATACCCATTAATCCAGTTGAGTCTACTGCATTTCTGGGAATTACAGTAGATTCTAAGCTGCAGTGGAGTCCTCATATATTATCTCTTGCGAATAGTCTAAGTTTTGCAATTAAAAGGGTTAGGCAGCTAACAGACATCGACACTGCCAGATATGTTTCAGATTTGTTTGTGACAAACATAAAATAAATACTAGAAATAAGGACAAACTAACGACGCCATTGTTTCGTCTACAAAAAGTAAATAGGTCGTTCACGGGGCAAAGTGTGCGCATGTATAATATTAAGTTGCAGTCGATATTAAGTTTGCCGCTTGATCAATTTAAACGTAAAATTAAAAGTTAACTTATGTTTAAAGCATATTATACCATTGCGGAATAACTCGACGACGCCAATGTGTGGAGTTAATACTGTTGTTACTCACGTAAGCTAGAATAATACTATTATACCTATATGTTATATTGTAAACTGATACTTTTGAAAAAGAGCAACTGTTGAGTTTCTTGCCGGTCTCTTTTCAACTGACTACTAAACTGCTTTCCGAACCGGTAGTAACTTACGAACCTATATAATTATGTTATAAAAACCTATATAACATAAAAAATGTAAAATTTGACGATTCATAAGAACGCGCTAGCGTCTATTTGAATAAATATATTTTTTGTCAATTCCCCGCGTATCAACCAATATTTTAAACATTGCAAGTGGCGAGCTTAATTATAAAAAAGAAAAGTAAAATTTTTTCTGATAATTTTTTTCGATTAGACTTGGAAACTGCTCAATGGATTTTAATTTAAAATTCGTTGAGCCGTGTGTGATGTGATTATAAATTAACTAAAAGTAATGAATACATGACAAATAAATTTTTTTTTTAAAGAGTTTAATATACATTTTTATTGGACAAAGTGGTGAATCAGCTGGTGTTACGTGCCATGTAAGCCCATGACTGTAAATCCACCATATAATAAAGTGGGCCCCGGTTACCCCACTTCGAAAACGAAACGCACAAGTATAACTTTCACTTCACGCCGATCTTCTGCGAGGTCGTGGTACTTCCCGGAGCGAGCCTTCCCATTTTTACAAGAGCAAAGACTGTTTGGCCCTACCACATTTAAAATAGATAAATTGCTGAAGAATTTAATTTAAGTATAGCTGTTACTCCGATGGCGCTAAATCGTTCCGCTCTACATTATAGACATATACAAGTGAATGTAACAGATGATATGAAAAGAGATTCTATAGATTCTTCTAGACAGTCTATATGATTAACACCAATTGGTGTAATTTGCGTGCCTCAATTTCGGTGCGCTAGTGTCATATCTTTGTATATTATATCATTGATTAATCTCATATTTAAATTTAATCAGAGTGCAGACTAGCACAAATAATAAAAAACTAACATGACGTGATATTATTCATTTTGTTTCAACAAAATGAATAAATAATCAAATACCACAATAGGTTAACCTATTTATTCATTAAAATTAGTTAGTTATGTTTTATAAAAATAAAGTTTTCGACGATAATTGTTAAAATATTTTTAACAGTGTAATATTTAATTAGGAAAAAATTATCACTTACAATACATACTGAAACTAAGTGCAAAATAGTTGGACACCATTTTTTTTTGTTCATAACCTGTCATTTAGTTTCAATATCTTAAATACCGACATTCGTTTATGATATTGGAACACAAATTGCGAAAATCGGTCGTATGCTTATATAACTAATTGTATTTTGTTATTGTTAGCTATTTCTTGAAGTGAGCCGTGATAGTTCAGTGCCCGAGGGCTCGTCTTTAATTTAATATACTCGAGCAACCTCCGTGGCGCAGTTGCCAAGGTATTGGCTTCGCCGTCCGGGGTCGTGGGTTCGATTCCCACACGGGACAACTCTTTGTGTGACCCACAGAAAGTTGTTTTGCATCTGGGTGTTTGTCCACGTGAAATTTATGTTTGTAAAACGTCCTTACAACACAGGATAATGTTATCCTAAAGTAAGGGCAATGTTGTTTAAAATGAAAATAAAAACCTGAGTTCGATCCCCGTTGCCGGCACCAATGAAATAGTCATTTTTAGTGCAGTCTTATCACGTACTTAGCGGTGAAGAAAAACATCGTAAGAAAACCTGCAAATTTTCGAACTAATAACAAAAAATATTTCTAAGATATGTAAGTCCGCTAATCCGCAGTGTGGTGGACTATGTAGGTACTTGGTACCCTCTGTGCAGAGGTGGCCTTTGCTCAGTGGGATATGTGTAACTTTTACTTTACCTTTTTTCTAACTCATTAAGACAGTGTGTGTTTAACAGTGTTTTCAATTTCTACCAAAAATACTTTATATACATTATACAGCAGTTGAAAATACAACTCAAACCGTTTGTTGCGAATTTCATAAAAATGAAGTTGCTCTGCGAATTGCTGTATCTATGATATGCTTAGTTTTTAAAATTATCTTTTTTCGTTTTTAAATTTCAGGGACCGTTTAAAAAAAATACATTAAATATTTAAAAAAATGTGCGCACGTAATAAGTTATACTTCTTTAGCAGAATAAAAGAAAAATTACTAAAATTTTTATCCTATGTGACAGTAAACTCTGTTTGTGAAAAGTACATTAAATGCGGTTGATACCTATCGGATCAATTCAATGATATTATTATGCAAATACGAGTTTAGATATGACACTATCGCCAAAATGAGGCACTCAAATTACGGCAATTGTTGTAATTGATTAGTGTACTTTCTCTTTCCGTACCCTTGGTTCTATATAATTTATCTCATTCACTTATATATGTCATATGATAGTGAAAAAGCCGCGCTGTTTGGACATGTGTAGTCTTTATTAAAACTTTCATTGGTTTGATCAAATAACTTGGAATAATAGGTTAATTTCAAAAAGTTGTAATTGGTTACCATGGTAATGTCATAAAGTTGGTCGAAGTTTGTCGCTTTACAACCAAGTTCATCATGTCGGTGTCGGTGTTTGTGCGCATCGTAAAAATGTAACTCTCATAATTGTATGTAAGCGCGTCAAAAGAAGAAATACTTCAAAAAATTACCGATATCCCTGATATAAAATAAATAATTTAATGTTTATATGCGTGTTACGTGAAGTTATAGATTGAAAAGAAAAATAATCACAGAAAGTGTTTCAAAGAAAAAAAATGTAAAAAACATTCGGCTGTGTATGTAACATCGCAATCGGCGCATAGAAAGTCAGTTGCAGTTCTATTGTTTACTTGCATTTTTAAAATTACGTTTAAATTGACAAGTTATTGTTAAAATAAAAATAATAAGTAATTAAAATCAATTTCAAAACACAAAAAAAAATTGACTAGGTTTACAATTTATTGCACTTAATCTATTGCGAAAGTATGCGGGACATTTTTAATTTCAATTTTAAGAATGGTTATTACTAAAGTAACTTTTATTTTTAATTTATTGATGTAAAATTTAAAAAAATAATAATAAAATTTTTATGTGTTCTTATGTACGTAAGCACGTAAGAAGTTATACTTCCCTAGCGTAACAAAAGAACAATAACTAAAAAAATTATCATATGTGCCAGTATTCTTTGTTAATGAAAAACACATAATATGCTATTGATAATGTTTTAATTGGTTGCCATGGTGAAGTGAATACCGTTTAGTTGGTCGCTTTTTACAACTACCTTCATTTTACTCAATTTTACTCTCATATCTTTTCCAAACGCGCCAAATGAAGTGTAATTTCGAAAATAAAATTAAATTAAAGAAGAGTTGTACCGATAAAATGTGATTATATTTTAACTGTACATCCTTCTTTAACGGCCTAAAATGCTTTAATGGATATTTTCTCCAAGATTTCCAAATTGACTTCTAGTGTATTAGGTTAATTTGTAACCAAGTTCGTTTCTTTCCAGATGAGCGTCGTTGTCAGCTTGGTGCTGCTAGCGTCGGCCGACGCATTCTTCCTGAAATGGGGTTCAGATTCCACGTAGGTATCGCGATAGACTGACAGAACTACTTAAGCTAATTTAAGCTTTCACAGCATCCTGGGTTGACTGGTAGAGAATGCCTTTGGGCATAAAATTCGCCCATTGTTACCTTTTTTTCAGGTTAGCAATGAAGCATAAATAAATAAAATAAAATAAAATAAATTTTACATTTCGTGGGAACATTACGTAAGGGCATTGCGAAATACCGTTTGAGTGGCTTACGCGAGTTGTGCAATCTCTGTACGCTTCTAGAGCGTTTTTAATATGATGCATTTTCGTGTTCAAATCGTGTTGTATGCCTGTGTAACATTACGATAACTGCTGTGCGTATTGGTTAAGCTTTATAAATTATTCGTAAAACTGCGCTTTGGACAAGATCTTTGAACGAAAACAGCCGTAGACTTGTACTGTACGCGGTTTATTAAATTGTCACCGGCACGTGGGCCTATGATGGTAGGCGCTTCCGCGTACGCGCGTCTTTTCGTCGAGAAATGGACACTGTTTCGCGCCTTTTTTGCAACGTCGCCGCTTCTTTGCAACGGTTTTTTTCGGGCGATCCGTAGCACGAATCATGTTTAATTATACTTATCATGAAGACACTTTTACGTGTTATCACGTCTTTTACGTTGTACTTAATTACATTTATTTTTCATTCAAATACATCTGACGCAATAATGAAAGTATCGAATTACAGCGATATTGATTATCATTTTTTTTATATTTACGCTGTGTACGTTATCTGCCGTCAACATTATCTGATGCGGCCGCATGTAGATTTTTGACAGTATACCTCGTTGCAGAGCACAATCATCGCAGAAGGCGTGGGTGCAGCCGATGGCGAACATGCCGCCCGTCCAGTACCGGTACCAGTACGCGTACCCGTTCGAGTCGCGTAAGGTGTACCAGATGCAGTCGCAGCAGTACCAGCCCGAGATACCGCAGCAGAGCATGGCGCCGATACCGATAAGCGTGCCGGCCGGCGCTAGTCTGACGCCGGTGTCGCTGCAACACGTGCAGCTGGTCCCCTGCATGTGCCCCGTGGCGCCGGAGGAGGCGGAGAAGCTGCAAGAGCAGGTCGGCCCCGGCCCGTACCTAGCACAGAGCTACACCCAGAACTACCCCGCCCAGATGGCCGCAGGGGACACCAAAACGACGTCCAAACAGTGAACGCATCCATTTCTCCCTGCTAATGCGCCTCGTATTTAAAATCAATAGACAACCGCCGATGGTTAACGCCCACCCCCATTCACCATGTTTGTTTCGTTTATTTATACTTAAATAAGACTGATAGATTCTAAGGTGTAATAATGTATTCGAAATAAATTATTTTTAAATTAAATTTCAGTTTTTTTTCGTACATGGCGCTGGTATAAGTATTTTTTACAAATAGAGATTTACCAACCATACCATACCGATCAGCCTTTTGCAGTCCACTGCTGGACACAGGCCTCCCTAAGGGCACGCCATATAGCACGATCTTCCGCTTTCCTCATCCAGCCACGTGGACGTCCGACACTACGTTTTCCGAGACGTGGTCTCCATTCGAGAACCCAGAACTACAAATGGAGATTTGGTATTGAATAAATCCTGGTACTTTTCAAGTTAGCGTATTTCGTATGAATATTATATTATTTTCGTAGATCCGAGAATGCTATGAGATTATATTATAACAAAGAAAGTAAAACACATCAATATATACAGCAATATCTTTTATTTCTTAATAGAATAACTGTAGTGTTTCTTTCTTAAATGAATCTATCATTCTATACTTACAATGCTAATTCGAATTTATTAGGTACAACAATAGCAAGTAACCCTAACAACCGAAAAACAGAAATTGAAAAAAAAAATAAAACAATTAAACGTCATCAAGTCGTGCTCGTAGATATGTTCCTATGTTTTGAATGCCACGGTAAGACAGAATGTGTTTTTAAATTCGTTTACAATGTCTTCAAGGCAAGAGTGCCAATTTCCAGTCAATTCTACGCTTGTGTATAATAGAAATATCAAAGTTGTATAATGTTACTATCTGAGGCTGCATCAAATTTACCAATTATCATCGAACTTTTTAGACAAGATACAGATACGGAAGCTGAGAGGTGTGGTTGTGTAAGCACTTTCATTGTTTCCAACGTCATCTAAGACCATCCGTTGCATTCAATTGAATGGGAGCGCAATTTCACTCGAACCGCGTTTTCACTTACGCGCGTGCAAGAGCCATTTGTTACTTGGGCTCGCGCCATACGTCGCGGTGCTTTTTTATTGGCCTTTATTGTGGTTAGCGTAAAGAATCCGCCATTGCGGTGGTGCAGTTGTTAAGCGACGGATTTTAGCGGTTTGTGCATGGGTGCCGCCAGCAGGGTGCAAAGGGATGCACTTGCACCCCAGTCGGGAATATAAATAGATGAAAAAGATTCTTTACATTTTGCTAGGGTTTCGGGAATATCTTATTTTTCGAAAATAGCTCGTGATAGACTTGGTAAAGGTACTTTTGGTACCATAATCCTATAGTTTAAAAATCTGAAAAAACTTGAATAAAACCTTAAAAGTCTTAAGTCACTTATAAATCGAACAAAAATTAATAAATTACAACCCAACAAACTCACTATATTGACCTCGCGACCACGGGTAGTAGGCTTGGTGTATGAAAGGAATAATTATTTTGATGTAAGTGTAAGTGTATATTATAACACTTGAGATGTAAATACAGAGTATCCAGAATCCAGTATGCAGAATTAGAAATAATGACTTCATAGTAGTAATGTTTAGGATAAGCTGAACGCTGTTTGCATTGAGTGGAACTTTTTAATAATAACAAGGTTCGACTCATCTTGATTTACACTAGATTTGAAACAAATAGTATATATACCGGCACACGTCGAATACTGAATATTCTGCGGGTTTCCGGGTAGGGATAGGATATACTGAGAATTTTTAATCTAATTAGAAAAGATTAATAAAAGTCGTAGGTAATCTATTATAATATAACTAATCGATATTCGACAAATCGTTGTCACCGAGATAGAAACAGCGTTTTTCTCACAATTTCATATTTTTATTATTTTAATTATCAATATTTACCGACATATTTATTATTATATTCGTGCAACTGCAAGAAATAATTAGAAAATAAGAATATAAATAAAAACAATTGGGTGTTGACGGACTCTGTTATTCTTAATTAATTATAATTTATGGTTAATTATGGTCTTCTTCGGTCAGATTATTTCTTATCTTTTATAATCTCATATGTCAAGAAGTGTTATTTTTGAGGCTTAGTAATAGTTTAGAATATACACAGACTAATAATATGTACTAATTATAGGTTAAATAGCCTATGCACTGAAACCAATTTTAATCTTTAAAAACTTAATTTAAATCTATAAACAAGATTGTCGGAAAAAGAAAAATTTTAGTTTTGGTAAATGTTTACGATTTGCGTCCTATGTTATCTGATTTTGAAAATAATCTTTTGGAGAGTGCAAATAATGTATATTTAAGCAAATATTTCAACGACATAGCCGGTAACTTTGAAAATGCTCACATATTCATAATAATAAAAAATGCTTATGCGATGGGGAAAATGTATAGATGAAGAATAATTTTCATAATGTGAAAAGGCAAAAGACATAATAAATAAACAATATTATTTAATAATTATTATTTATTAGTTCATAAAATTTGTTTAATCAGTCGATTTCAGATTTATTGCCTATCGATTATCTTTAAAAATAATATGTTTTTTTGAGTCATATGATTGCTGATGTCAGAAATCTACATTAATGACATTATTACATGTATAATTATTCTCTGGATCAAGATGGCCCCCAAAATTAAGTAAATTTCAATATGTAAGAAATTATTATGGAAATAAGCATAATATTGAAACTTGGTAAGATTAAAATTAAGATTGAAAAATGCTAATAGTTTCTAGGCGTAAAGTTCTAGAGGGTGCAAATTTGGATGAGAAGATCAGTGAGCTATTACAATATTACAGTCCGGTGAATCTAACCCCAAGTTCCCAGGTCAATAAAATAAAGGCAATAAAACGAAGCAGATGGATTCTGTCTCGCACCAGCAGGGTCGGCTTGCAGAATGCCAATTTTCACGAGCTAGTCCGCTGCTCTCTTACTCTAGTGTACTACTTCGGGATGAGATTGAAAATAGGAAGGCCGGGCTACCACTATTGGAACTGGCGTGGTCGATGCCATTTCAAACGGGCGGAAGAGATCTTCCACCAGGCCATGGAGAATCTGTTACCCGAGCGGATCGAAGAGACAATTAGGGTTACGCTCGGCTTCATATCTGAGGCCTCTCTTTGGCCTTACGAAAGTTTTGTCCAGCAGATATTCGAGATCCTCCTGTACTACGGCCAAGGAAAATCGGCCGTCTTCCATCTAATGCTGTCAGATATCCACTGCGTTCTATTCACCGACGTGGTCTCCGCGAGGCATCGTACCAGAGTGTTGTATGAATTGCTAAGGAGCGAAAATTGGATAATGGACAAAAATGAACTGCTGTCTCTCATCATACGCTTTTTGAATTTCTTCGCGTACAGCATATCGAAAGGAGAAAGTGAATTCTCCTTGTACAAGCACTTGAGGAAGGGATTCGAGGTGTGTTTGCGGCGTATTTTCGAGAGGGCTGAAAACCATCACAAGCTGACTATCATCGCGACGATGATGAACTGGTTCTACGTCGTGAACTTGACCGACGATGATATGTTTGAGTTCTCTTCTCTATTGGATTATGCTGCGCGTATGTACCAAGTGAAAGTGTATAGTGAGAGCTTCTGTGAGGGACTATTCGATCATGTGTTAAAGAATTTGGTCGGATCACCGAACGCCTTGTATAGTTTAGTGGGCAGCCGCCTTCTTGTCAGATTCCTCGACCGGCAAACAAACGCTCAATATCTAGCTGTTCCAGCGATATACTATGACTTTTCTCAGGTGAATAAATTTCTGCTTCTCACTGAATATAAACTGACTATTTAGTTTTAGTTGTTCGATGTATAAATAAATTCATTATTTATGGTACCATTCTAATTCATGGTATAAGTAAGTTAAATTATTTTTGGGTACATAGACTTTGATTCGAATGGTAACCAGCTAGGCTACAGCTATGGCTAAGACATTGGGTACATCTTTCCTTTTCATTATATTACCGACTATAGTGTCATTTCTCTTACATAAATTCTCGCAGGTCGAGCTGAAGGTCGGCGTGTACGACAGCGGCGACAAGGCTTTCATACGTGAATATCGCGAAAAGTTCCACAGTTACTTCCTCGAGGCGGTTAAGCGTCACTGCTACAGCGCTGTGAATCTGAAGGCCGTCTTTGCCGCCATCGGCTGCATCGTGCTCGAGGTCCCGTGCGGCCTCACTGCCGCCGTCGCCGCCTGCATGGCGATGGTCGTCCAGGACTACGCCATCAACGCGGAGCACGTGCCGGCCAGGTGCAGATACTGGATGCACGCGATAGTCGTGTCGGTGATGTCGCTGGTGTGCTGGGTGCACCGCGCCCCCGACCTCTATAGATACGTGAACCGCATCGTGTCGACACGGGCGAAGGAGGCGCCCCAGCTCAACCCGCCTCTGACGAAGATCTACAGCGTCGAGAAGCGGATTGTGTGGAACAAGCCGACGCTGTTCTTCGAGGATTGGGAGCTGCGATACGGGCTCTGGAAACACTTTCAAGGGACACCGGTACGTGGTTATACGTCCGATTACGTACACTTCACTCAACGGAGTAACGTAATTATCATTTTTGTTGGACCAAATTAGTCAGTTTACTTTATTAAACTTTTATTATTATTACATCTTATTTAAACTGTTCACTTTCGTTATTAACGTATGGTGTAATGATATTGAATTGGTACATATTTATTATACAGCGTGTCTTTACAATCGCGACAATAAATGAACACGCATACAGAGGATAACTTTTTAAAATTGTATTAAACATTTACATTCTTTAAACATCAATATTTACAGAGTTATTAAATTTTTCAAAAGAAAGAATTTCAGAACACCTTACGTAGAAAACTGTAACCTAAAGTTCATTTATAAAGGTCACAAAGCATATGAATGTGTTGGATGAATTTAAAAGAGACAAAGCATACTGTTGAGGCTTTTAATTGCGAACATTACTGGAGAGGCTTTTAATGCGACGCTGTGGCAACGAATGAAAAAGTCTCGGAATGTATGAATCGTCAATTGTATTTGTCTAGGATGTTACAAATTTTGTTTCTTTTTTATTTAATTAGTTTGTTTGAAAAATATTTTTTTTAATTATGGATTTTTTTTAACGTTGATATTTTTTTATGATTATTGGCAAGTAGCGTTAGACGTGTGTTCATTTATTGTCGCGATGGTAAAGACACGCTGTATATAGTAGATGTATATGGGGCTATCATAGAATTGTCGTTGACCCTACATTAAATCCGGAATCTAACGATTACTTTTTATACTGATATAGATTATAGACTATAATCAAAATACATATACTTAATAATATTTATGCAATAGTGATTAATCTCTGTAATTTTTGCTCTTTTTATAGAATAACAGAAGAAATAACAAAATGAAATTGAAGCCTCCGTATATCGACAAAACACCTTAAAGTTACCTAATTTCCTGGTAAAATTTATATACAACTAGCGACCTGCCTCGGCTTTGCACGTGTGCAATGTATTATACATATAAACCTTCTTCTTGAATCACTCTATGTAGTAAAAAAACCGCATCAAGATCCGTTGCGTAGTTTTAAAGATCCGACAGACAGACATACAGGGACAGGCAGGGAAAGACAGCGGGATGACTTTGTTTTATACTATGTAGTTAATTAGTGAAATATGAATAAAGTTATATCTCCAATAACCTACTATTTATAATAAAACCACTTACGAAGTACATATTATTTTTACAGAACAAATTTAATTAATTCGTGTGAAAAAGCGATTCAATGATAGTTGTTTCATGTGTTAGGAATGTAATAATTCTCATCTTGCATAACTAAACACACTATTTGCACATAAAAAACAATAGTTAATTGAACACATTCGTTCTGTTACGATTGTTTGGCCGAGTTCGTAATCCTCGGAAGTGAGGCAAAGCACGCTTTAGTTGAGTAAAAAGCGGCCAAGTTCGATCTGTTTCACCGTTCAGGAGTACCGTATATTTTACAGAATACATTGTCGTTGTAAGAGAATGTTAAAAAAAAGTATAAGTGTACATACGTTATACCAACTTACTTTAGCGTAACAAAAGAAAAGTAACTAAATATTTTTTATCTTTTGCCAGTATTCCTTGTTTGTGAAAAGAACATTAAATGCGATTGATAACGGTTTAATTAAATAACTTGGAATTATAATTTTTTTTTATACCAAAAGTTGTCTAACGAGCAGACGGGTCACCTGATCTTAAGTGAATACCGCCGCCCATGGACATCTGCCACACCCGAGAGTTACAGATGCGTTGACAACCTTTTAAAAATTGGGCTCCGGCTACCTCACTCACCAGACGAAACGCGAAAGTATTTGTCATAGATCCACTTTACGCTGGTCTTCTGTGGGGTCGTGGTACTTACCCGGACCGGCCTGCCCATTCGTGCAACAGCCGAGGCTGCTGCGTGGCCCTACCACCGAAGATAAATTTTAAAAAGGTGTTATAGTGCTTCGCGGTGAAGAAAAACAACGTGAGGAAATCTGCATATTTTCGAATGGATAAAAAAATGTTTCACTAATATGTGAAGACTGCCAAATCATCAGTGGGGCCGCGTGTTTTGCTTCTATTTGAAAATAAAGCAATGTTTTAGTGTATTTTACTTTCAGGTAAGGTTAAAAATTCCACCCGGTAATTTTGTTTACGATAAGACTAGCATCCCGCCCTGGCTTTGCTCGGACTGGGCATATAATACATAGAATTTATGTTACACATAAATAAATAAATTATATTTTTTATACGTATCATGGTTTATGTTGGTTATTTGCATTTTTAATCGGGTTTCTACGAATCTTCTGATTTTGAAGTTTTTGTATCAGTCAGAAGATCGAACCCGGAACAGAAAAGTTTTAGTGAGACGGCGCGACCTTTAAACAGTTTTTTCTCATGCCTAGTTAGATATTTGTTTCTTCAAATCCAAAATATCTTAATTCAAATATACACTTGCGCGTTCTTGTGAATCGTCGAATTTTACATAAATAATCGATACGTAAGTTCGTAAGTTACCACTATATACGCTGTTTTACTGCAAATTTTTACTCGGCGTGGAACCAACTGTGTTACTACTAAATTAGCTCATCACGCGCGAGTACGTAATATCTGTGTTTAACGCGAACAATGTTGTTTGCATTGCTTTGAACGTTTCTGTGGTTTTGGGATACAAATCGCAGTATTTTAACATCAACATATCGATTTAAATGGCAATAGGTTAAGATCTCACTGTGATATATGATAATGTTTCTTTCGTTGAAGACGTATTCTTCGAAAGATATAAGAAGAAGTAATGTACGCTATTAGCATATTATAATTAACACGGAGCAGATTCTGTTGGCAACGGCTCGTCCAGGGGAGTGCTGTGTCTTTGGAGAGGACCGGCTCAAAGTGGAAGTATTGTATGTAAGCTGGGCTGCCTGTACTGGGCCCACTCCCTGAGAGGTTGCCTACGCATATGCTACTCGCATTTGCAACTCTAAGGTTCGTTAAACGTGCATGGACTCCAAGGACGTCCAAGGAAGTATTCAATAAACACCAGGTGAACCGGCATCTCGCTTGCCACTTTTACACACAGGAAAAACATGATAAAAATTTTTTGGCTGTCCGTAATGTCGACCTCGAACTTATTACAACCTCCACGATCCACCTAGGCGGATACCGGCAGGGTCACGGGAAAATTTTCCCACGCTTCCGTGTCCTTGCCAGCGCTTGCCGCCGCAGCAGCCTCTTCTCGGAGACCAAGTTCTCTGACCAGTGGCCATTGAAGCCGTGAGAGCCAGGGCTAAGAAGCAGCAAGCCTCCCAGCCCCCAGCGGCAGACCTGGTCTGTGTCTCCGCCATTCACCACATTTTCATCAAAATGGCGGCGTATCGCAATACCAACACTCTTCTCCTCCCACGGCCGCACTACTGCACCAGCGGTGCAACCCCGCCGAGTCGCGGAGGACAGGGAGTGTGGTCTAATGCAGTACCGACAATCCTCTTCCTACGCGACTCCTCCTTAGTAGCAGAAGACAGGGGGAGTGGTTCCTCCTTTACCACCCTCGACCTGTCCCGTGCATCCTTCAAGAACGCATCCAGAGCACGCACTCGGAGCGGCCCTCTCTTGTCTGGACTTATACCACAAGCCAGTGTGGGTTCCTATCAGCTTCTTAGGCTCTATTCTTCTCTTGACACTATGACACATCGTTCCTCTGCTTAATAAAAGTAATGAAAGGACACAGGTCAAAAGTGACGAAAACAAAAATATTTTGATATATTATATTAATTACTGTTTTAGGTTAGGTTTTGTTTCATCAACGATAGCAGAAATTGGTTTAGAACATCCGTACCAATGGTTTCGTTTAAAAGAGTATTTATAACGCCTAACTATTAACGTGAATTGCAAAACAACATCTCCTAGCAATTCTTCGTGGTTTTGTTGTTAGGCGCAGTCGCGATGGGGAAACGTAGGTTTTTCGTGAACAAGATAAAAGTATGAAGACATTAACGCAATTAGCGAAATAAGAAAAAGCCGCTGAATATATATACAAGACACGGTGTGAATCTTATAATTATAGACTTTAATAAGTAAAAAAAACTGAGCAACGTCAAACATCCGGATTTAAGGCTTGTTCGATTTGTACAATTCGTCTTAAGGAAATTCTACGGTTTTTTATCATCGCGAAGTTAGTGATTTCACCTCTATACTGCATGAAGCCTGTATCAAGGTGTAATTGTTTATGATGCTGTCATATTTATTTATCATTCTTGATTTAATAATATAAAGTGTACTTCTTTAAACTCACGCTTCTTTTCGGCATAAAGATAGGAAGAGATATGACCGAAAGTGTATGTGATACCGCCCATTGCCGCCTACTAGTCCTTTGGGCACATGGGTTTCTAAAACGGTAACACACTCACCAGGCGGGACGCATTGGTATAACACTCATACCAGTGAGGCCGTGATTTCACCAAACTTTTTGCTTCACCAAACTAACCTGCCTATTCTTTTTTTTTTATGTGAGAAAGTAGCAAACGAGCTGGCGTTTCACCTGATGTCAAGTGATTACCGCCACCTTTAAATAAAGTGGGCCCCGGCTACCTCACTCTCCAGACGAAACGCAGAAGTGTAGCACTTCTACTTCACGCGGGTCTTCTGTGAGGTTGTGGTACGTATCCGGTATGTACCTATCCGCAGTGGAAATAGGAATAATCTTAAATTCTTTAATGAAAGGTCATCGGTCGGTCATCACCCTGGAGGCAATAATTATGACAAACGGTTCTTTCAAACTACAAAAATTTAACATAAATGGTAAAGAATTTGAATCCTCAGTATTAAACGATTTTTATAACTCCCCCAACGGGAAACCATGTCGATGGACGTCTAGTTTGATGACGAAATAATTGGGCTGCGCGTGATTTCTGCGAGTGACAGCACAATGACCGGAGCTTACTTTCAAGCTGTCATTATGCATTCATTATTTGCATTATCTGAAAGTGAATCTGAGAGTTAAGCTGCACTGGTCAAAGTTTTTCCCCCGATAGACTATAGTTTCACTTTTAAGATGAAGATGAGAGGGAATGTTTTGTGTCTCATCGGAAAACTATGACAGTTCACAAAATAAAGAAATTGTTTATAGGTACTTTGTATTTTTTGTATAACTTGAACAATATGGAATGAGTTTAAATCTGTTTGTAAATGTCCTTTACAGTATACGAAAATATTCTTTTAATCTTATAATACTTAATCTAAATCTTATAATACGATAATACTTCAACAACGCTGGTGTTAGTTTTGTTGCAGTAACTTGGTAAAGCGAAATAATAGTTTTTGCTCTAGCACACAGAACGGTATACGTCTCTTGTATGAGAAATGGGGAAAAAATCAAGTTATATAAGAATATACAAATATTTTGCCATAGTTTTGGTGTTGTTCACGGTCTGTTTTGACATTGGGAGTTAGAAAAAAGATTTTCTCGATGTGTGAGTCGCCAAGTATTGCTAAGACTCCGCTGTATGTCTGTCTGTCTGTCTGCCTGTCTGTCACCAGGCTGTATCTCATGAACCGTGATTGATAGGCAGTTGAAATTTTCACAGATGATGATTTCTGTTGCCGCTAAAACAACAAATACTAAAAAACAGAATAAAAAATATTTAAGCGGGGCTATATAACAGACATGATTTTTTTTTGTAGATAATGGTACGGAGCCCTTCGTGCGCGAGTCCGACTCGCACTTTCCGGTTTTTTATTTACTAACATTAAATAAGTGTTTGTACCAAATAATCGATACTGAAGTACGGATTCGAATATTTCTAACATTGCTTATTGGAGCGACTCTGATTTGCGAATTGAATGCGACACAATTCTTCGCGGTCCGATAATATTCGGCACGGAGGCCAAAAACCGTTTGAAAACAAATTATAATATTGGCGACACGATAGGCTCGTTCTGAGTTACATCACTAACCGCGATCGATTGCCTGCAGCAGTTTAAGGAAAATTGATTTTCGGGTACACTGTGGATCCGCACTTGCGTTATTTTTTACAAATCTTATGCTATAAGTTATTTTATACACGACTTATACATGAAGACATTAACTTTATGTAGATTGTATCAGAATTTGTGAATGTTATAAGTGTTTCTGTTTTGTTTTGGAAAGAACGAGGATCTCACACTATTTACATTATGGCCTGGCATGAGCCAGAGCCTTATCTACCCAGTTATAGTTTAAATGCGTGAAGGCGACTTTTACTGTATTACACAAGATGTATTACACAAGATTCTACAGCCACTCATTTGTAGACATCAACCGATATAGTCCTTAAATAAATATAATGATGGTTTTAGAGTAAGTGGAAAAGAATTCTTCATTAAATATGATTAAACCATTATTGGTAAGCGAGTGCATTAACTGGCTTTCAAATCAAATTCATATTGCCCAGAACCATTAATTTATTTACAATATATCCATAAATGAACCAAATTGCAACATATTTATAACATAAATCTCATACAAGGAAAGTCTTAAAAGACACAAAGCTTAATATTCTAATACTACAGTTTAAACTTTACTTCGCTCTTAGATTCTATAACAAAAATGCATCATTTTATATTGATATCGCCTAATAAAGAAAATATTACACGTGTATATCGTTGAAAATCCGAAATATATTCAAGAGTTTCATAAAGAAATATACTTCAAGTTTTCGTACACTGAAATACAAAATTTTCCCTCTAATTTGAAACTTAGTGAATTCACTTATAGATAATAAATAATATACGATACCTAAAGAATTGAATGATCCAAAACTCCTCAAAGCATCCGTTACTCGGACGCAATTGGGACTATCATTACTTCCATATCACCCACGCATATAGGGCGGAAGCGAAACGGAACGGCATCTAGAAAGATTCCCTCGCCACTAGAAAGAGAAGTTGGCGCGAAGAATCTGCTAAAGGAACGAGACAAGTGTTCCACGATTCTGGAGTCGCGTGCATTCGTGTGTGGCATATATAAGTATTGAAAACTGCAACTGCCTCCATTATAAGTCGATCGGTGGATTCGGGCGCATCGTGTTGGGTGTGCACGAACGTTGATAAGTAGCCGAACGGGTGAATTTCGTTCCCACGCCTTGCAGTGCTTTTTGCCTCATCCCGCCTTGATCAGTGCTTTCCAACACATTGTTCATCAAGCAATGGATTGCCGATTTGTGGTGAGTTTTTAGCATGGATTTTTCTTTACTCCGTCTTCCAAGTTTTCATTACTGAATGCGTTGCGTCACTTTGGTTCGCCGTCTTATCTAATAAAATTTTTGTTTGACAAGCTCCCGTTTATGCGTGCACTGCAAATTTAATTACAATGAATTGTGATTGTAAGAGAGAAACTCAATTATAATAGAAATGTTTTTACCATGCCATGTTACCATGTCTTTACCAATTCACACGTGAATAAATTAGTAATAAAAAGATTAACGTTATGTGTCACTTTGTAATCAATAGACTTTTAGTAGTGAGATAAAAATATGTACGTTTAACTTATGTTAAATTGACAGTTGATATAGTATTCATTATTACAAACGCAGTAAAAGATTTAGTTTCATAAACTATCACGGCACAAAAAAAAATTGGTAACTTCACAATATCTATTGAATTCTCTTTGGCTAATCAATTGGATTAATAAAGTTTTTTTTTTTTAATATAATTTAACACGTGACAATTGATATTGATATTGATATTAAATAACCAATCTTTGACAGTCATTGCGTAGTGTTTATTTTATATGGTTTAACATTCCAGTTGTTTGTATGTGTCGCTGTCTTCTTGGGATTATTGGTCGCGAACGTTGAGGGGTAAGTGGAAATTACTTATTGAATTAGTTCTCATACATTTCTCTTAATTTAAGAAATTCGTTTTAAGATTTGATTGTGGGCGGTGGTTCTGGAATTTAATTAGTTTTTTTTTTTACGTTTTGCCCTTACTTTAGGATAACATTATCCCGTGTTGTAAGGATGTTTTACAAACATAAATTACACGCGGACAAACACCCAGATGCGAAACAACTATCTGTGGGTCACAAAAATAGTTGTACCGTGTGGGGATCGAACCCACGACCCCCGACGCCGAAGCCAATTACTTGGTAACTGCGCCACGGAGTCATCGCGAGTATTTTCTAAGAATGTATGACGGTCATTATTTTCAGTTAGTTGTTTACTCGGTTCCCATTCGTCAATAGCAAAAAGATTGGTCTTTAAAGTTGTATCTTAGGTTTCGTGTCGACTTAGCGTTTAATTATGTAATCGGAAATATAACTATAATAGCCAGGTGCAATTTTGCGTCATATTAATAGACCCTTGATCCTATATGAAAATTGTTAAGGCCAACTTGAAGATGACACACATCGCATTTAGGACAATGTAGTTAAGTGGTATATAAAAACATTTGGTAATTAACAAGCCGTATATGTGTACAAATAATCAAAGAGATAAAAAAAAAACGTATTACTAACCTTTTTACACTCACTCGGTGTCAGAATTACTTTTATTATTAAATATTGCATGTAAATGATTATAAACTATAATAGGAAATTACTTGAAGCACACAAAATATAAATTATAAAAGCAATTATTAAACATGTAATCGTAAGAATAAAGTTAATAAAAATTTGAGACCTACTTTCTATCTTCTTTGCATAATATAAAACAAAGTCTGTCCCGATGTTTGTACGCTTATATATTTAAAACTACGCAACGGATTTTAATACGGCTAGCAATAGATAGAGTGTTTCAAGCGGGAGGATATACAAGATTTAACAATGTGATACAAATGCTTGAAAACGGGATACTTACAAATTTCTTGCTTCAAGTAAGAATATAATAAATATAATAGGAAAGTCTAAGTATTTCATTCTTTTATTCTTTTATTTATGTCGTTTCATATGATTGTATTTATGTCATTTTCATATATCATTCTCATAATAAATATGTAAAATAATGAATTATTTAAAATATACATAAATTTTTACTGTTACCTTTTAATATACTATCTATTTGCATTATTTCCAATTTATTTTACTTCCAATGTTCTTCTTTGAATATAGGCATATCTAATATTAAAGTGTTTTTAGTAAATCAGATGAGAGTTCTAGAATATGAAATATTTATTAAAAATGTCACAGACCGTAGAAATAAACTCGCCTTAATTGTGCCTAACGTAAAAAACACGCGAGTATTTTTGGAAGTGCGTTCTTTGGCACGAGTACACAAAGTACTAAAGTTGCTCCAAACGATTCTCTCGAACATAATATATGCGTGGCAACTTGTTTCCAATACATCAAACTTTCAATTATACGTATAAAATGTGTCACAAAAGCCTCAACATTGGCTCCAGCGCGTCATCGGGTGCTGTTTGTCTTAAACTGTGACGTACGGTCATTACTTGCGTACATCGCTCGCTTTGTCACAAACGTCAGTTGGTACTACGTAAATATCACCCTCGGAGCAGTAGCCACTTAACGAGCGTCAAATTGTACGGAACCGTGAGGTGTAAGTAAACAAGCCCTCGTAACAGGAAAGTGTTCACTCACGCGTGCGCTCTAGAAATTGCTGTGACACGGCGGAAATGATCGCGTTGCTATTGTTCGGCGTTCGTGAGATCTAATTGGTATCCGGTAATTCCGTTGCGTTAGGTTATATTAGGCGGATTTCTGCTACGTCAGATGGCCGAATGTGCCTTTGATCGCATCGACCGATATACTTGTCCGATTGGTCTCCATTAAAATAGTGTCCAATGTCTCCATAACGATACTCATTTGAAGATTAAAAAAGTTGCTTAAATGCATTTCTTGTTTTTTTATTCCCTGTAATAGTTTTTTTTATTATATGTTTATTTAATAATTAAGTTGTAGTACTATACGACTTTATGCTTTAGTTTTACATTGCTATGGTGAATTAACAACGAATCAATAGGGAACTAGAAGCTACATTCGTTGAACGATAACGGCTCCGTGACACACTTGCCAAGGTGTTGGTTTCGGCGCATGGTGTCGTGGGTTCGATTCCCACACGAGACAAATACTTGTATGACCCACAGATAATTGTTTCGGCTCTTGGTGTATGTCCACGTGAAATTTGTGTTTGTGAGAACACATTTTCGAATAGAAGACTACAATAGACCTTTCTCGGTCGCAGTGGTCGTTTGGACTTATTAACAATAACCCAGAGAGAATAAAATGCATTACGTTCGTCGATGGTGACTCTTTTCTTTTTTTGTATTACAGACGCACCAAGAAGGTCGTTATACACGTTCCGTACAAAGTGAAGAAACTGAAGCACACGCACACCATATACAAGACGGTGCACCACCATCACACTCACCACGACCACGTCGACCACGACCCGACGGCGGAGGAGCACGAGCACTTCCACCACTTCCACGTCCACGACGACTCGCCGATAGGCCAGCATAGCCAGCCGGTAGGGGGCATCGGTATACCGGATTTCCTGCCGGACACACCGTTGGAGGTCGACGACCTGCCCAAACTACGCCACAACGAACTCTCCAGAAACCCGCCCCGGCTAGTAATACCGCCTTACAAACGCCATTACGTAAGTATTATGGATAGTTTTCGATTTCCATTGTGGCAGGACGACAAATAATAGTTTCCGCATTAGCTCTTTGTATGATTACATTTTGTGTTGGTACCTTATACGTCTTTGAAACATGTTATCTTGCTGTTAATGATATAAACATTTGTGTTTACAAGTGGTGTCGTGAAACGATGCGTTTATGTAATTAACTTGAGAAAGCAGGGTGAAGGCATAGCATATATACACTTTGAAGAAGTCAGCCATCATTAGTTTTTTTATTAATCGGAAATATTTCACTTTCACCGTGATAGAACAGTGTCCTGGCGCTCAATTTAATTCAATATAGTCTAACAGCTTGAGTTTAAAACTCCTGCGTCAGTAATCAGTATCGATTAAATTGTTCATTTAAGTGCTTGGATATCACATGCTCAAAGGCGAAGCAAAACATCCTGAGGAAAACATGCATTTGAAAAATAAAAATTAAAAAATATTTTGTAGTTAAGTGAAGGCAATGTGCATTTGGGTTGCGTGGTGGACTGTGCTGTAATACCTTCGGTACAGTGGAAGCCTTTTCTCTGCAATGGGACATATATAGGCTGTTGCAAGATTTACTAAACATACTCAATCCTAATAAAGTACCGGTATTAAAATCTGTACAAAGTACTGCTAACTAGTAGAACCAACTGATTACCGTGCAGTGATGCAGTTCCTCTTCTGCTGACGATTTGGTGTTTATAAAACACTAATAATTATTACAATTTCCCCTCATAACTCTTGATATCGCCCAACACGTGAGTGATTTATCATAGGAGGGGTACCTAGTCGTGTCAATAGAATTTGTTTTTTTTTATTTTATTCCAAATTAGAGATATAAATAAATTGATTCGAATTGATTTCAGAACGTCGGTCCAAAGTAAAAACGCGCGTCCTGCGCACTCAATCATTAAATCAATACTTCCCATGGCGAACTCGACGGTCTTAGCCTTCTTGAAATCAAGAATCCGTTAAGCGTATGCAGCAGTGCAGTGGTGAGAAATTCGTGATGAACGTTCAGAAATTATATATATATATATATATATATATATATATATATATATATATATATATATATATATATATATATATATATATATATATATATACATATATACATATATAAAATGTACATTGTTGACCTCATTATTGAAATTGTCGCCGAAATATATTATATTCATTCGTCACCTTGTCATCAGGTTTTCCATAATAAATAGATTTTGTTTTGTTCACATTAAATATATTTAATTAATAATAGTTTTTTAATATTTTCTTTGTTAAAATTAGACATTTTCGAAACAATTAAATTAATATAAAAAATTATATGACAGATATTTCTTACGTACTGGAAACTTAAAGACTGTACTGTAACTAGAATTCTATTGGGAAGTAATATTATTATTGTACAAAAATAATTAAGATAACTTAATTATAAAAAAATTTGAATCTGTTTTCTGTACCAAAGACTAGTAAGGCTGGTGTATTCGTTTTCCGTTTTGGTACAATGCGTTAATTATTTTTTATTAAGTTAATTGTTGTAAATATTTACTGAGGTGGTAACAAAACGTATAACAATTATTGTTTTACTTTTTTTTATATTTTATAAGAAAGTATTATTATTTTTTCATTGACCATTATGTTAATAGGAAATAGACTTTGATTAAATAAAACATTTTTTGTTGATTATTTGTTTATTTATGTAATATACGGTGCTATCTTTACGCTTCTATTACGTTTTGCGATTAATTTTTTGCCTTGCGAATGATCTTAATTGTACTCTTATTAAAAAGTATCTCATTATTCGTAGTCACTTTTTCGCAAGTATGATTGTGTAGTTAGTATTTTGTCCTTAGTTTTTATTTTAAGTTTTCTCTTCAGTAATTTAAACATTACTTAGTGGCAGTACTTTTTGAACTAATACTGGGAAGTCTCTCATGCAATTGGCAAACAACTAGTTATACAAGCCATATGCTTTCCTGAAATGTCGGCGACGTATTTGTAAGCCTTCTGCTGTTGCAGACGTACATGGGAGGCTGTTTACCCCCTTTTCCCTAACAAAGGACCCTTAAGCACCTTTGAGCAGAATAACAGCAATGCAGCCACAAGCATACGTCACGCTTACGGCGTATCAAAGGCGCTCTAAAGCAGTCAACAACTAACGCGAAGACTACTCGCTCCCACAAAGTAAATACAATTAATGCGTTTCGAATACCCTCACCCGAGGGACCCGATAAATCTACGGTGGTATGGTGATTAAGTTTTAAGAGGTGGCCGATCGCCCTCGGTTGTTTACGAGCGCGTGCATCGGCACACGAGCGTAATTTATCGGGGCCCAAACGCATACCGGGTAAACGTGTCTGTAACGTTACTCCGAACCTCGGATAGTCGAAACTGTTGAAAGGTTGACGAACCGTGGGCCCTGTATACTGTTTTTTTTTACTTTATAAGTTTAGTGAGTGTCTCTTAACGCAGAGCAGATTGTGTTAGAATGTATAAATTCTGAGCATAGTCGAAAAATCTGAGCCATTCCAGTGGAATTTTTGTGTGGCTAGAATATTTCTTCAATCCGTTGCATTAGGGTAAACGGAATCTGTATTCGTGCCTCAGAGGAATATTTTAGTAAGCGATTTTCTATGTGGCGTATTCAATGATATTATATAAACCTATACGAGGTAGATATGATAACACTAGCGCACCGAAATAGAGGCACTCAAATTACGCCAATTGACGTTATTACATTGCAGTCCTACAGACTGTGCTATTCATCTGTCATTTTCGCTTTTATATATGTCATATAATGTAAAGCGGAACAAGTATTACACGCCGCACAATGTGGACATGCGTCATTTATTAAGCAATTTACGTTTTAGCATCTATCATTAAACATTCACGGCGATAAGTTAAGAGTAAGTAGTTCAGGAGATATTGCAATAACAGTAACATTGACATTACCTAGTTCTATTATTTTTGAGCTAATTTGTGGCAGCGAAGGACGGCAGACATTTTTACAGTCACAGCGTTATGAAAAGGCACTGAAAACAAAGTTTATTATTGAATCTTTCACAAACGACATTGGTATTTTGCTCTCTCTACGCAGAAGTTGAAATAGATATGTATCTTTACGTATCTTTACTTCTATAATAAATATAATTGTTCATTTTGATGGCTACAATATGTTAATATATATCTTATTTTTTATAAATTTTTTTTTATTTATAGAAAGGAATTTATTAAATGATAATTTCTTCGAACTCTGAAAACACAGTCTTTTTAACCGTATTCAAGAAAAGTGTTTAAACTTTGTAATTTTCCAAATGAGCATCAAATAAAACGCATAATGTGAAACGACAGTTGTTTATAACATTCACGTTTCCAATGCAAGTCGAGAAACAATTACGTTTATTACTTTAGCACATAGACCGTAACGGCAAAAGTGTAACAATTCGACCAGCTGACAGCGAGTACGTAGTCGGAGCGATGCAACGGCGGTTACGGCATCAGCCCTAATCGAATGCGTTGTTTTGGAACGACTAAACGACCATGCCAAACGGGCCGTTGCCGCCGTGGAAATTAGGGTCAGATTCGCCGAGCCGGCCGAGTCACGCGCGTCCGCCGCCGTCAGCGATCAGCCGTTGACAGTCGAAACTGAGGCATTGCCTGTGTGAAATTCGATAAATGGCGACCGCGCAACGTTTCGCTCGGCTCAATCCGGCGTGGCGTGGTAGCAGCACGGCGCGGGCCGGACGCTCTTAGATAAGAGGACAAAACGAAAAACGGGAAGCGATGAAAGTGGCGCTGGTTGTGCGAGACGAAATGTGAAGGTTGCCGGTGCGTTCGTAGCCCGCTCTGTTGGTATTGGCGCGCGGCGCGCGACGGACCGTCGTGGTGTCAATTGGCATCTGGAAATGGAGCTGGTTGGTTACCTGGCTTTGCTCGCGGCTGTGCTCTCGGGCGGCGACGCCGGCGGCCACGGGGGGAAACACCAGTGAGTACAGCTCGATCGTACTTCCATCCTCGCGATTTACCGCTTAGCGTGGAAACCAAATTCAAGGGTTGCGAAATCATAGCATGTTTGCATGTACTTGTGTGTTTTCCATTAATTCAACAGTGTGTGTTAAGTATCTTAATGGCATAAACAGAATGATGTTAAATTAACGTGTTGCTGTGACCTCGTCTTCTTAATAGCTAAAGCGAAATTGTGATATGATTTATCATCAATGCATTCTTAACTCGTAAATGATCTTAAATTTGTATGATAAATTTAATTTGTTTTTCTTCTCAGTGATCACGTGAAACTTCACATGCCGGAATTTATTCATCACGACCACCATACGAAGGTGATAACCATTCACCACCACCACCATAAGCCGAAGAAGGAACACCACCATCATCATCACCACCACCACCATCCGAAGCCTCATATACCTCACCATCATTACAATCAACACCACCATAAGACGACGCTTAAAACAACTACGGTATCAAAAGGCCATAAACATCATGGACACCACGGTCACCATGGGCATCACGGCCACCACGGTCACCAGAGCCACCACGGCCATCACGGCCACACCCATCATCACGATCTTCCGTCGATCAGCTACGACCCGATCCCCGTATCGTTTGAAGACGACTTCAAGTCGTACTCGCCGTCGGTACCGGCCACGATTCCCCACAACCCGCACGTCCACGGAGTCGTGCACACCGTTAAGCAAGTCAAGGTGTTCGATTCGTTGCCCGGCGCCGTGCAGCCGAACGGCGGCTCCACTGGCTACGAGGTGACGGAAGAGGGGCACGACGGCGAGGAGGACGAATTCACCTCCATCAACACGATACCTCAGACCTATCCTGGCACATACGGCTTCGTGAGGAGCGCCGCGCCGCAGCCCGCGGACCACTTCGGGGTCGCCCTCCAAAGTACCATTCAGAGCAGCCACGACCCATTCGCCGCTTCGCCCCAGCCAACCGCCTTCTCCAGCTTGGAGAGCTTCGGCGATGGCGGTCAGGGCGAGGCCTTCGGCGGGGCGCCGGCGCAGGGCGTTTTGTCGAACGCGCACGCACCGCCCGAGTTCGCGTCGGCCCCCATAAGCCCCGAGCCGTCGGGCTTCGAAGACCCGGGGAGCGCGTTTGTCGGAAACGACATTGGCGGCACCGCCTTCCTCTCCGCTGAGGCACAGGACGACACCCCGGTTTCATATTCACGCGAGGCTGGCATACAGCAAACTGTCAAAACGGGGGGCATCGAGACTCTTGTGTACTAGTGGTTCTAAGAAAGTATTAAAAATAAAAAATATTCCCGTTTGCCGAGAGCCTCTTTTCGAAGTATTTTTTTAGTCCTTTTCATATGTGGTCAATATATACTATGGTGCGATATGTTTTCTGTTCATAGCGAATTTCGTCCACTTTTTAATTTGAAATCTATCCCCCAAAACAATGTTTCAAGTTGCCTTATATAATGCTATTTTGAAACGGTGTGACAAACGTCAAGCACTTTCATTTCTTGCGGTACAAAAGATTTAGATGTAAGACAAAAAGTAGGAACTAAAATGTAAGCATTAATTTTATTGTTCGTTATAAGTCTTGTTACTTTTTGTTACATTTTTTATTTAATTAAATATTGTTGTTTGAGACGAGACTTTTTATCCCTCCGATTTAAATAAATTCCTTAGGCTGCTCAATAAGTTGATTTTTCAAACGAAACACTTGTGCGAATTTAGATTATCATATATCATCTTAACTAATTAAGACGCATCGCACATTACAAACAGAGTTTGAGTGTAAAAGCCTAAAGTGCAAGTGTACTGTTCCAAATTGTTCTCCCATCTCCGACGTAAGAAAAGACATTGAATGAAATCGAAAGCGATTGAAGAAAATACACACAATGGATGAAGAGAAAAATAGTTAACGACGAATGGGTGTACGCAGCTACTTTACGTCGCCTCTCACTACAAGCAACGTCTGACGTTCTCTGATCATAGCTTATTGCACTAAAAAAAAAACCCGAGCAACGAATTCCGAACACAATTTGGCACGCCCTGGTTATCGAATTACGCAACTGAAAAATAAACGGTTCCCCGTACTCGCGGAATCGCTGCATAATATCTTCTGGGACCACAAAAACAGCCCGAGCGTTCGTTGCGCAACGTCGCGAACTTATTTCAGCGATTGCTAATGGGAAAATGCGTACAGCTGTGTAATTGCGACGACTTTTTGCATGGCGCTTTTGATGTACGTAGTGTAGCTGGAAAAAAGAGCAAATGCGACGCCGGAGGGAAAGGAGAGAACGTCATACGTGGCCATCTTTCGGTCCCTTACGTCATTGTGATGATAATCTATTCTCTTTCTAATGTGTGCCGTTATTTAGGAACATTATTGTTTATGTCTATATATACAGATTATTTTATATAATTACACAATTTTACGTTTATTTTGGTGCAGATGCTTTCATGTGAATGTTAGACAAGATGAGTCCGCAATGTCCGCATGACATGCCTATTCTCCCTAGAGTAGCAAAGGGAGGTATAATAAAAAGTCTTACTTAAAAAGTAAAGCTTTGAATGCACTTTGCTTGGTGGACTCTCAAAACCAGCATCGAATAGAATGGGGCTCATCTGAGATAGACACTAAACGGCCGCGGTAATGTAACAAACTTCAGCTATCTCAGTCATAAACTCATTCAGATGGAATCCAGGACAACAGGAGCTTTGCCCAAGCTCCTTCTTTTGGTGACCACGAAAAACGCTTCTTATGTCAAATCTGCGTCTTTCTAGTCCTGGAAAGTAATAAGTTCTGTTAAGAGCAGTTATATCACTAGCTAAATTCAATAAAGGGTGTAATTCAGATTTCGATATGGTTTCTGCTGTTCCATTAATTTCATTGTAAATTATCCATTTTCATCGCCTCTGATATTTCGTTTCAAAAAAACGTTTGTAATACTCAACAACGACATGAGATTGTAATACGTTTGTAACGCGTACCACAAATATTGATTCGTGGTGTTGAATGAATTTTTTTCAATGCGTCCGGACCCGAATATCGTGTTTCTCAACAGTCATAAGCGATTTACAATTGTTGTTTGCGATACATTTGATGACTCGGTGGCGTCGTTGCTGACTTCGGAGTCGGGGTTCGTGGGTTTAGATTCCCACACGGGACAAGTATTTGTGTGACCCACAAATAATTGTTCCGCATCTGGGTCTTTCATTCCCAAGGAGGGTTGAAGTCATGCCGGTCGTAAATAATTTTGAACCAAAAAACAAACACTTTTCGACTTCAAACAGGAAACTATAAACATTGTCAACACCTATAACATTTGTGGATTGCCCTCGATTTCTCTGAGATGCTCATCATCAAATCCGGGTTTCCTTGTCATGGTATCACCCTTGTGATATCTCTTTTCCGACAAAAAAAGAATAATGAAAATCGGTTCATAAATGACGAAGTTACCACGAACACACACAAACACATTTATATTGTGTCCGGGCGCTCGTCTTTAAGTCAATATACTCGAGCAACCTGAATTCGATCCCTGGTGCTGGCACCAATGAAGTTTTTAATTTTAAGTGCTGACTTATCACGTGCTCCGCGGTGAAGGAAAACATGGTGAGGAAACCTGCATATTTTCGAAATAATAACAAAAAATATATATTTCGAAGATATGTGAAGTCCGCTAATCCGCAGTGGGGCAGCGTGGTGGACTATGCCCTAATACCCGCTGTATAGAGGAGGCCTTTGCCCAGCAGTGTATAGGCTGTTACTTTACTTTTTTCCTTTTGGTGCTTCTATAATTCGGTGGTTCTATTTGGGCCAACCGAAATTACCTTTCTTGCTACGAATGAAAGTCTTGCCACTGATCAATGTAACATGTTCACCACCGATATAATCCACGTAAAAGGCAGAGAAAAATACAAATCTGTAATTATATGACTTTATGTGGATCTAAAGCAATTAAAGAAAAATCGTCTATATTAATTACCATCATCATTTCTGCTCATATCAGACAAAAAATATAAATTGGGACGTTGTAAAAACTGTCTTCATTGACGAGTCTTTATAGTCGAGTATATAAAAGTTTTGACGACCCGAATGGCGTAGTGAGTAGTGTACCTGCCCCCTGCGCCAGAGGGTGTGGGTTCTATCCCCACTACTGGAAAAATATTGTGTGATGAACATGGTGTTTTTCTAGTGTCTGGGTGTTTCTATATGTATCATATGTATTTATTTACAAAAGAAAAGTATGTTTATCAGTTTTATAGTACCCATAGTACAAGCTTTGCTTATTTTGGCACTAGAAAATGTTGTGTACAAATGTGTTCTAAAAATATTATTTATTTGACGGATATAGCTACTGCGTCCTTCAAGGTTTAAATTTTGAAGAATATATTTTAATTAATAATGAAATTAAACTGTAACTATTAATGTTAAAATTTACTAAGATTGATGAAGTATATTATAATTATTGTTGTTTTATATAAGGTTATGGACTTTTTGTGAATGATATTTGAGCCCCGTAGTTGGGATCAAATTCAAATCTATTCAAATCTGTCACTCATGCACACGATACTCTTACATATTTGGCCGCCGCAGTTGATAGGTTTCAGCGAGGCGGATGGTGTATTAAAATATCTCACGGGAGCAGTCTTATATGAAGATTTGTAGTCCAAACAAATTCTGTACGTAAAGCTCTCGTAAAAAATTGTCATTTACTTTACGCGTAATTATATTTACATAAATACTCGTATCACTGATATGTAGATATATTGGTTTTTATAATCTTTATTAAAATAATGTTTGGCCCTGGATTTATTTTGATCTATTTCAGGATAGCAAAATTTATTTATTGTTTACCATTTAGTTGCCGAGCCGTGATAGCTCAGTGTCTGGGCGCTCGCCTTTAACTCAATATACTCGAGTAACTTGAGCTCGATACCCGAAATTGTTGATTTTAAGTGCTGACTTATCACGTGCTCTGCGGTGAAGGAAAACATCAAGAAGAAACTTGTATATTTTGGAAATGTTAACAAAATTTTTTTTTAGTATTTTTTGGTATAGAGGCAATAACGATACATAATCTGGGAAAATTTCAACTGTCTAACTATCACGTTTCATGAGATACACCCTGGTGACAGACGGGCAGAGAGACAGACAGCAGAGTCTTGGTAATAGGGTCCTGTTTTACCCTTTGGGTGCGTAACCTGGAGCATAAGGAGCCGTTATAGATGTAAGATCGATGCTTTCGAAATGTCGTGTTAGCGTAGGATGCTCTGTATTCCTTGGACTGCGAGAAGGACTATAGTATATGATACTAGCGACCTGCATCGGCTTCGCACGGGTGCAATGTATTATACATATAAACCTTCCTCTTGAATCACTCTATCTAGTTTATAAACCGCATCAAGATCCGTTGCGTAGTTTTAAAGATCTTAGCATACATAGGGAGAGACAGACAGCGGCACGACTTTATTTTATACTATGTAGTGATTAAAAGATGACGCTTAACATCACGAAGCGGCTTTCTGCAGTTTGCCGTGAACGGGCTCTCTGCTTTTTACGCGATCGTCAAGGCACAGTCTCGAGAAGCAGATTTTATAGACCAGATGATCGGCAGACGTGCTTATGGCAGGGCACCGGCATGATGGGTGGACGCAGTGAAGAACGCGATTGGCGGCGGCATGCAGCGCACGTAGTGGAGGAACAAGTCATGTGGTCACCATCCTCAGAATCGAGGGACCAAGCAAGAAGAAGAAGATGTAAAGTACAAAATGCTCGATGGTCGCTGAAACCATGGAGAGGTGAATTTGAATTAGGTCTATGAAACTGAGGTTCCACCAGTTTTTTACCAACCTAACGCCACTGCTGCAGACATGTGCGCATTACCGAAGTACCTAACTTACTTAGTATGGTACGTATCCAGGACAAATAAAATGAAAAACGCCTTGAGAAACGATAGAATTATTTTATTTCATAATAAAACTCTACCACACGGCATGCAACACTCATTCCCAACTAAACATTCATACAAAACTGATTCTCTAATATCTACAATCAATAATTAGCGCTCTTGGCAACACAATAAAGAACTGTCAAAGGATATTTTACATCCTTACCTCGGGCTGACGTTATAATTGAGGCTATAAAGGAAACAATATTTAAACCGAAGAGATACTGGGAGTTATTTATAACAAGCTAGTTAGTAAGAATAATTTTCAAAGAAAAAATAACAGTTTAATTAAATTGATTTACGACTAATACGTAACAGTATATATAGCAAAGCAGTCAAAACAAAAATACAAAACATACTCGTTTTACAAGGTTATAAGGACTATTGTATCATATTTTCATTAGGATAGTTTCAACAAAATAATCATCATTTACGTTATTCACGTCGTTATTATACTGTTGCAGATAAACAACTTATTTGATTACAATGTTATTGTAAAAGCAATATTCATAAACATTTCGTCTTTAAAACAATCATCAAGAATGCACATACTATTGTATGTATTCAAAATGAACAGTTATTTACACGGATAACCTTACGGCAGGCAAGAGTGCCTGGCCAATATAACGAAAGCTTCTTTTTAAAGCGTACTATACCAGTAGTCCGGAATATCACAGCAAACTGTCACTGCTTCTGCCTTATAACATAGTGGAGAATAGAAAGGTTTCTAATATAGCTCTGTTATTCCATTATAGTCTATTTTACTATACAGAGATAATACTATTATGGGTTAATAAATTACGTTATCGCGATCAAAGCACGGAATGTCAATGGCTATGTTCACTGAAGTCGGCACCGGAGCTCGAGAGGCCGTAGCTGCCGTGGTCACCGCCATCGAAACTCACTGGAGAGTCCTCGTGTCCATGGCCCTCATCAGCCGCACCCCATCCATGACCTGAAAATGGCAGCTCACGATTTATACACAACCTTCAAAGTGTGACAGTAAAGCGTAGCAATTTCGCGATCACTACATAGTATTAAACACAGTCGTTCCGCAGTCCGTCTGTCCCTATGTATGCGTAGATCTTTAAGACTACGCAATGGATCTTGATGCGGTTTTTTTACTAGATAGAGTGATTCAAGAGGAAGGTTTATATGTATAATATATTGCACTCATGCGAAGCCGGGGCGGGTCGCCAGTTTAAAATAAAAGAATCATCCTAATTGAGTGCTCTTAAATGTAAGTCTTTGTTTTCTTATGTGAATAGTTGACAGCGAGTAGGCAGTAAAACTGGTGTTTAGTGATCACTGCTATCAATGGACGTTTACAACAAAGTATATTCTATTCTACTACTTCATGCCGGTCTTCTGTGAGGCCGTAGGACTTTATTCCACTTACAAAAGCTATTGCGTGGCCCCACCATTGATCGTGTTTCAGCCACGCTTATAGAAATACCAAAATGACGGACGTCAACATCTAGGAACACCGAGCGTATGAATGATTTTGAAAAATTTAAAACCACTAGAATACAAAATCGTTTCAGATCGCACTGTGTTATTATAGCAACGAGTTGGAAGTTCAATGAATCAGAAAATTTTCTGATTGTTTTATTGTTTACTATAGTTTACTCATTTTGAGGGTTATCAATCAATTTAGAATAATTCAACATTGTTTCGAGATATTATAAAGAACAATATTTTTAAATATTAGCGAGATTTAAAAAAAATAATTATAATGTATTTTTGATTGTTTTAAGAATACATCAACTGCGTTAATATATTTTTAGTAGAAATTATAGCATACGGAGCAAATCATCCACATTGGATATGTTTAGTTGACCAATGGAAATTTTTATGGTACATTCAAATGTAATACGATGCATAAAATGCTTGAACTGGTCTCCCATCAGTTCATGCGTCCGAATCCAGTCTCCAAATACTTTATTCCTCGATGTTTTGGTTTTAAAGAGTCTCCAAATACTTTATTCCCCGATGCTGTGGTTTTAACGAGTCTCCAAATAGTTTATACTTCGATGCTGTGGTACTTACCACCGCCGAAGTGTGGCGCTTGCTTCGGCTCGCCGTAAGTGTAGCCGAGGACCTCGTAATGGTCGTCGCCGCCGCCGCCGCCGCTCTTGTGGTGCACGTGCTTCACGATGGTGTGCTTGTGGTGGTGGTGCTTGACGAACAGAGGCACGTGGATGACCACCTTCTTGTGGCCGCCGCCGTGGCCGTCGGCGGCGACCAGCGACGTCAGTGCCACGGCGAACGCCAACGCCATCTGGCCACAGATAAAATGAACACAGGTAATAAGTGAAAGAAAAAATGTCAACAGGCCAGGGATTGCATGAAGTAGACGTTTACACTACCCATTGTTATGTAATTGGAATTTATATTTAAAAGAAAACTGTAACACATTGAAATAATATATTATGCTATTTAATATAATACTGTAGGAGTTAACCATTTTATTGACAGAATACATAATTGGCGTTGTTGTTTTGAAAGTCGCAATGCGAATGTAGTACACTTACACATATTACACTTAAATTGAAAACTTCGCTGAAGCGCATGTCAGTAAGCGATAAAGGGTTCACCACGTAAATTACACATCGTCATTATGAACTACGTCACAAATGACTCAATCGAAAGTTTGGAACTTTCGTATAGAAGATTGTGCCATTGTATTGCCATGAGATGTCTAATGCATCAAAGTTGTTAGTCGTGTTCGAAATTAAAGTTTTGTAACACCGCCTTAATTCACTTTCAACTAAAAAGAAATATACAACGTCAATTCAATGTTTTGCCTCTCACTATTCACTATTATTTGTACTATTTGCTTGAAACCACTTCGGTGCGCTTGTCTGTTCAAGTAGTAGTATTATCTGACTTTTTATTTGCACGGATAAATCAACGAAATATTTTGTTGGGATGTTCACTCTCTTGACACACACAGGATTACAATTAAGGGCTATTTGTCAATTTATTACATCTAAATCGAATTAATTACATTTGTACAGGATCATTTCAGAGCTATTGGTCCCTATAATTTTCCCCAAACTTCTTTAAAAGAGTCTTGGATCAATTAAAAGATCAATGGCACGATGAAAATACAACTGCATGATTAGATCCACTCCTTAAAGCCGCGTTGCCGCAGCGACAGTAAACGACATTATTTAAGAAAAAGTTTGAAAGCAACTGAAAATAAAAGTTTCCGAAGGTCGCCTTTTAACTTATTACCTCACATCAATTAGGGAACTGTGTACTCACCAATAAACGGGCAGACATGGTGAAATTAGAGGCTGGAGCGTAAGACCTGACGCGCTTGCAGTTAGCCGGTGTGTGATAAAGAAATTTAAACAAAACTTCCTTTTATATCGCAACGTGATCGCGTTTCGCGACACTGCCTCTTGGAGGCTTCGATAATATCGGCGGTTTTCAGTCTTTGTTCAAAATTCGAACATAGCTCGTTGGATTAAAGTTCAATATACCCTATGGATTTAATATTGTTGTGTCATAACAGTTACGAATCATTTTCAACTCTCTGTCCGGTGAATAAGGTGTATTATTGCAACAAGAAGGATGGTGGAAGTTCTATTATAGTGAAATGTGGTCTACAGTACGGTTGTAAAGTGGAATTTCATTCGTTAACTTATTTTTATAGATACCAGCATCACTATCAATTTGGTGTACATTTAATTTCATCGATACTCGAAATGATAATATTATCACCACACCTCAAAGACTGTATTCATATATATGAGTATAGTCTTATATATGAGTATAGTCTTTGAGATGTTAATTATTTTAACTGCCTATCGTAGATAGAACATTTTATTCTGTAACTCTTTATATTTTATTTCTGACTGATTGCCACGGATCTTATTTCTTTTTATGTTAAATGTTTATTTCGTTTATAGGTAGCAAGTGAGTTGGAGATTCACCTGATGTAAAGTGATAATGTGGCCAATGGACATCTGTAACACCCGCGGGAATGCAGATGCGCGTCCATCTTTTAAAATTTTAAAATTGGTCTCGATTACATTATTTATTTACAATTATCCATTTCACGTCGGTCTTCTACGGCCGCGAAAATTCCTCAGACGAGTCCACCATTTTGTGCTAAGAAGCTCTGCTCGGCATTCATGATTTTCCCATGCATGTGATATACTCGCATATTATAAAATTGTCCTTTGTATCGTATTTTCGTATTTTCGTATTTTTCGATATGCTATAGTTTGTAATAATAGCCCCTCGACAATGAGGAACACAATACATTAAAGAGCGTCTTAACGTAACATTTTATCTTGAACATTTCTATTGCTATACCTAATTACTCATTGAAAAGTAACAATCGTTAAATGCAAAGGTGTTTAAAATTTTAGTTACTGTAGCGAAATAGAGAAAAGCTTTTGCTTTATCTGATAGGAATTGTACGTCAAATATGAAAAGTAATCGTTAAAGTAACTAAAATTTTAAATTGAATTTGCATTTGAACATCAGCCATAGACTACAAAGAAGCATTGCTGAGCCCTGAGCCACACGCATTCATCGATTTTCCTTATGTTATCAAAGGTCGTGACTCTGGTCCTTCTATACTACTTTTGTGCCGGTGAGAGATCCTTTCTTCCCCATTGGCCATAGGGTCTTCTAGCAGTACGGCCGGCCCAATAATCATCTAAGCTTTGTCCGACTGCAGACGTCTTCATTGCGAACTCTATAACGCTGAGAAATATTGGACATAGCCCGCTCGCTGAGAGACTAACGCCCTGTTTCTGAAGCATTGATCATCGTAGATGTCAGCTAATCAGCAGTCAAATGACTTTTAAAATTTCATCTTAGTTGCTAAATAATGGTTAAACTCTTTGAATTGGTTCTGGTCATTAAGATCATTTTGGTCAAAGATTCTTAATGACCAGAATCGATCACGTTGTTTCTTATTCCGCAAACTGAAGTCTTTTTTAATTTTGTATGAGTTTAAGAATTTACTTAAAATAATTACTTTAATATAACAATACAAATGATTGCAAAGAATTAATATAAATTAATATCACAAAAGTCTGTCGACTGTATATATTCTCCTAAGCATAAGTTTAAAACTTCAACTTCAAAAGTTCAAAGAGAAAGTAACACGTTCTAGTATAACTCAACCAATGGACGAAATAAAACAATGTATACTTTGATTCTGTTCTGTTTAGCGCCCTTGCTTGAACTGTTCTCTTCAAAATAACAAACAGGAAAGGGTATACTTAGAGTGGCTCAACCAAAAAATTTCTTGAAAGTGCAGATCAGAAGGACGCAATGAAATTATTAAATGACAACAAACAATTATAATTGGTCATGTACTCTTCTTTCTCGTGCCCCTTTCCCACTAACGTGGGGTGAGTACTATATCTGGGTGTTAATGCTATAGGTTAGATTTAGTTGAGAACAATTTTGCTTGAACCCTAGTTCAAAAGCTCGGAAGCAAACAGTATATCAACTGCACCACGGAGTCATCAACAGTTATTGGTCATGAATTATATAATGCAAATATTTAGGTCACTTATGTGGGGTCGGTACAACAGGTGAATGTATTTTTGTTTTAATTTGTTTGAACTCACGTCACCCTTTGCTGAAGCCAATAGCGCCAACGATTCGTCATCATTAATTGGTTATTTGTTATATAGGTAATATAAATGTTTATGAAGATGTACAGTTCACAAAAAAATGCCATATGTGACCCGCGTTCTGACGATGAGGCACAGTGGCGGGCGGAAGACTCTCACTTCTGCGGCCATTAGTGCGGGAATAGGAGCATCGTGTCTGTTATTATGTGATAAGCGACTTTATACGCGACGCTACACAAATTATGCAATTTGTATGAGCTACGCTTTGTATGTTTTAATAGCACTGAGCACGTAAATATTAAAGTATCGAAAGGCTTACATGCTCCTAGATCCGGTTCGTAGTTCGAGCGTTTGTGCAGAAAAGCTTATAAATTACTTTATCACTATGTCAGAGCTACGCAGCAGCTTTTGTTGTACGAATGGGCAAATCAAATCATTTATCATGTACCTATTATACATTTCATCTATCCGTTTCTTAATGAGATTCCTCTAACGGAGGCGAAACAGGCGAAAGAAACTCCTAAGGTATCATGTTTACCTCACTGCGTCAGAAGAAAAGTTATGTTTTTCGAGAGTATGTATGTATGTATAATTGTTTGGCACGCTCTGCAGCCTGAACGGCTTGATGCATTTTAGCTTGAGAGGTTACGTTATATTCGTATTTACTGTGGGATATACTGTTCATATATGTTCATTATCATTAACGTATTGATCTATATTATACAAACCCATTTCATAAAGTTTTTCTTTAATAAATTTCTTAACTCTATTAATAGGATATGCTCGGCCATATACAAAACTAGCGTGTGATGGCAGTATTGCACTATTTCGTCTGATTTTGTGACTAATGGGGGCTCACATATTAAAGGTTGGTAAAGCATGTATAACTCTACATACACATCAAGCTCAGCATAAATATTAGCATCGTATCAACGGCCTCCTACATTTTCACATAAAAAAGATCCTTGTCGCCAAGGTGCAGGCTTCATTTCATTATATTTAATTAAATAAAATAAAAATGATCTAATATTTACAAGATTAAATCTATCTAAAATTAAATATTATCTAATAAACCTAATCCACGCGGCATGGTGCCAAGAACGGTAGCTGCATTTCCTCGCTGAATAGTTAAATAAGATTAATAATTAAATAATAAGAGAGAGGCAAAGCCCTTGTTTGGGACGCCACATGTGTAGACACTTTGGCTGCCTCTCATCTAAGGAGTACTTCGGTCAGGGCCGGGGCGGCATCGGAGGCAGCTGAAGTAAGTAAATGGGGCAAATATGAGTCTTTATATTTAGATTATGTATTTGTGCCATTTGCTGTTGAAACATTAGGTCCGTGGTCTCCGCACATCAAAATTTTTTAAAAGTTTATGTCCTAGGCTTAACGCCGCGGCTGGTGACAAAAGAGCTGGCTCTTTTCTGGTTCAAAGGTTAAGCATAACTATTCAGCGAGGAAATGCAGCTAGCGTTCTTGGCACCATGCCGCGTGGATTAGGTTTATTAGATAATATTAAATTAAATGATAAATATAATTAAATAAAATGCAATATTACTATAGTATATACAGAATTAGTTTAGTAGTAGAATCAATTATGTATAAAATAATACTATATAGAGAAGAAGGGATAAAGAAAATGCATACCATGAGTTTTCTTGCATCGAACAAC